TTGGGTTTTAGGGCTTAAGGTTTAGGGTTTTTTTGCTTTGTGGGAGGAGTTTAGGGTGCAGGGGTCATGGGATGTGCGGTGTAAGGGCCCAGCTTTTTAGTGTTTCAGGCATTGTGGGTTGAGGCGGGGCGGGTGCACTTAGGATCATGTACTATTATTACTACTACCACCACTACCACAACGACTACCACTACTGCTACTACTACTACTACTACTACTACTCCTACTGCTACTGCTACTGCAACTGCAACTACCACTGCGACTGCTTTTGCTGCTGCTGCTGCTGCTGCTGCTGCTACTACCACCACAAGCTACTACTACCACCCATGATTTCTTGAGAAATCACAACCACCATTTCCGCTGTCATTGCGAGTATCGAGCCTTGTGAGAAGTGTGTCCCCAGAGACTCCAATATCCATTAATTAAGGAATATACCTTAAATCATATTGGGGATCCTACTATAATTTAAGGTATATTCCTTAATTAAGGGATATTGGAGTCTCTGGGTCTGATCCTTGGAAGGTCGAAGTGCAGAGAATTCTCAACTGCTACCTCTCAGATCAGCCGCAGCTGTCGCTGACGCTGGGCTGCTTCGTAAAGCCTGGGGCTTTAGGGCTTATGGGTTTAGCGCCGGTTTAGGGTTTACGGGTTTAGCGCTGAAGTTCTGCAGAACTTTGGTAGGGTATCGCGTTCTGCAGCACCCGAGTTGCTTTCAGCTTTGAAAACGTTCGAGCATAGCTGCGCATGGCGATTTAGCTATTTGCTGCGAAAAGGCAGGGCTTTGGGGTTTATCTTATAGCTAGAGTAGCTAACCTGTAACGCTTTGGGGTACTATAATATTATAATCACTGTATACTCCCAAAAGTTAACCTTTAAATCCCTAGGATACTGCGCATCGACAAGCAGGTTATGGCTACGTAACAACATGGAGGCTGCTCAGAGGCTGCACTAAGGCTGAGGGGTTTAGGGTTTAGGGTTTAGAGTTTAGGGTTTAGGGCTTAGGGTTCTGGTTTAGGTCGTAGTTTGTCGTTCTTTCGAGCACTTATTCATGCCTGCGCTGCGGCTGGATGCAGAGAGGCAACAGGGAAGACAGCTTCCGAAAAGGCCCAGAAGTCCGAAACCGTAGTTACCGTACGGCCTCCGTCCTCTACCCAGAACGCATATATATATATATATATATATGTATATACATACACACACATACATACATACATATAAATGTCCTTTTTACTTATGTATTTATAAATAAATAAATATATATATATATATATATACACCCCTGAAACCCTGAGTAGTACGATTTCAATTTCGCACTCCCGGCTGTTAGTGGGCCGACGGGCAGCGAGTGCTTCCAGTGTATATAGGCCTGCCTTTTTCGTTGGCAATGTTTTTTCTTTAAAGTTTTTCAAACCGTAATATGCAAAAGACCTTCTTCAAGTATTTCAGGCCCTTGAATTTGAACCCTCATGGCAGCTATGGCAAACGATATAGTAGCCTTATAGACACCCTCAAAAAGAGCCCTTCCAGGAACACTTTTCTCATGTTTCAGGTCCCTATGTTAGAAGGGCTCTCACTATCTCTGAAGCTCCAATCCGTTGTGTTGAGGAGCTGGCGACAGCTTGTCGCCGACTTCGTTCAGGCGTGTCAGTAGGGTGTGATAAGGTTTGGATTTCCGGTTTAGGGTGTGGGGTTGGGTGGGTTTAGCGTTTGGTTAATCACTTCCCCTGTTGTTAGGAGAGCGGCCTGCTATGGGGCCTGGGTCTTTGAGTATTGTCTTTTCTGGTGAACCCAACCACTGTGAGTAAAAACATCGCGAAGAAGTGTGTGAAGGTGGGCTTGCAAAAAACCTAGGCCCCATGACAGCCCCTTCCGTTTATTCAAAACCCCATCACGTCACCTTTCTGGGAAGTCTTCCTCCAATCATCACCGCCCGTTAAAGCAAGCTTTGGATTGAGGGGGGGTTCAGAAGCAAGAGCAGGGTTTAGGGGTTAGGGTTTAGGGCTTAGGGTTTAGGGTTTAGGGTTCAGGGTTTAGGGCTTCGGGTTTAGGGCCGCATGTGCAGGAGCAAGTGCAGGTTCAGGGCAAGAGCAGAAGCGAGAGCCAGTGCTGGGGTCAGAGCAAGATCCCCTTAAAGTGACAGTAGGGATTCAGGGTTTAGGGTTTAGGGTTAACACAACCCTAAACCCAAAACAACTAAACCCTAAGCCCGAAACCTTAACCCACACCTCTACGAGTTAAAACACGTTGAACGGGCAGGCACTTTAAGGACAGCTGCTCATCGGGCTTCATTCCTTTATGTATGGCTTCTGAACTGATTCGTGCAAAGGGCGTCGGCAGGATATTGAGCTTCGCCTTTTCTGGCGTCAGGGATTTAGGTCTCAGCCAACGGATTGAGGAGATTAACGCAAGCAGCATAATCCTAGGATCCAGCGACGGAGAAGCTAAGTGTAGTTGCCCTACTTACTACATCCCCTGATCTTCAAGAAGTTAAGACGGTGCTTGCAACCGCACTCCCTGAATCCTCAATTCGACAGGCAAGATCGCCTGCTCGTAGCCCGACAAGACGATCACCCAGAGATGGCTCCATGAACAAAGGAAGGTTCATTAGCGTCTAAGTAAACCCTAATCTTTAAGCCGAAGCCAGGTGATGGTCCACCCTAAACCCTAAACCCTAAACCCCCTAAACCCCCTAAACCCCCAAAGCCTGAGCCAGGTGGTGGTCCACATTTGCATCCTCATCTTGCCCGCCATCGTCATCTCAGCGAATGCTCTTGCGGCCCAGCAGGTCTACGCGCGGACCATGGTCGCCTGGATAATTGGCACACATATTTCTATATATATATATATGTATGTCTATATCTATATCGGTATTCTATATCTATATATAGTATACCTATATACCTATATACCTATATACCTATATACCTATATACCTATATACCTATATACCTATATACCTATATACCTATATTGTATGTATGCATGTATGCACGCATGCATGCATGCATGCATGCATGCATGCATGCATGCATGCATGCATGTATGTATGCATGGATGTATGTATGTATGTATGTATGTATGTATATGTATATGTATATGTATATGTATAT